GCAAGGAGAAACTGGTTGGGCGCCGACCGGAGTCGAACCTCCGCTCACTATCCAGCCGCCAGGCACGGAGACCACTGCGCCACAGCGGCGACTAGGAGGGGGGAGGTGGAACGCGCCACTTCGGCAAATCTGGCTTCTGAGAGGCGGGTTGATCGTGATGATCGACTCAGTTCGGTTTTAGCAACCAACTTCTCTGTGCAAGCTGACTTAGTTGTAGGAATCAGCCATGGTCTACCAAGCGAGTTGTACTAGGACGAGCTACTCAACTGTTAGTCAGAATCAACATGCCTGATACAAGCAACCAAGTTGCACTCAACGAAGCGGTTCTGGTCGCTACGGCAAACCCTTTTTTTCCGTGTGGGTGTATCGTGTCTATTATTTATTATTTCTTTACCACCAATTACCCCTCCACCCCTCTAACACGGTCTTTTAAAATGTTACCAAAACGTTCGGGAGTCGCCTCTAAAACTAACGTTGCGGTAGTATATCGCTTACCTGTCTGTACTACGTCGGGCTGGACGACAGAACGACGGTAGTTTTCTTTGCAGAGCACCAACCGACCACCCTCCTCGTCGGGCGGGCTGGGGCGGGGCGCGCGCAGGGGGGACGCCCGTCGAGCTGACGGATCACTCTTTTGCCGGGACTTTGCTGCGAGCGCGTGGATATCGTGGAGACGGAGGGGGCGCGCCGTGCAGATCCGCGCTGCGGGGCGTGGCGTGGCGTGGCGCGGCCGGAGCGTGGCGGCAGCGGTCCCCTTGACCACTCGCCAAACAATGATGATACAGGGCTCAGCCGAGATGGTCCAGCCCTCCCTCTGTGTGTGTGTGTGTCCGGCCGTCTGTCTGTCTGTCGTGAGCGGCGGACGAACGGACAGGAATAGAAGACGTGTCTGGGCGGGAGGGCTCCTGCCCAGTCCGACCCCGAGGGTCTCGCCGGCCGCTGCTTGCTGCGCTGTCCAGCGCTGTGCAAGGGCCTAGCCTCGCACGCACGGGAACACTCGTGATAAGCTCGCTCACAATGCTGCATGGGAGGGATGGACTCCACATTTCCAAATGAAGAATTCAATAGTTTCTCTCAGTAGTCATTCGGTTTGGTTTGACTCGCGTGCGCTCGCGTGTGTTCGTGGCGGGCGCGTGGCGGCGGGCCGCGGCCCGGCTAGTGTAAGTGTGGCCGGACCGACTGCTCGCGCCCAGCGCCGCTGGAAGACGACGAGCGACGCAATTAAAAAGTTTGATTGCGCGGAACGGAATCACTCCGAGCCACCCCTCCCTGCCCTGCCCAGCTGGACCGCCTCACCCCTCACCCTCACCTGGCCCCGAATTTCGGGAGAGAGGTGCAAAATAAAGGACGTGGTTTTGCGAGCTGCTGTTCTCTTCCTGGCGGCACTCTACTTATTCGCACCGCCCCCCTCCCCACGTCGCGCGCGCGCTGCCCGACAGAAAGTTAAAAGCGCATCCCGAATGCGGACGGGGTTGTGCGAGTTCTGACCTCCCCTGCTTTTCAATTTCCCAACGGTGGCCATTAAAATGTACTTTTGTGCTCATCACGCTCGGGTTTATAACAACAAAACCCACGCGCTGGACATTTTGTTTTGGTCGTTGCGCGTCGTCCACCCCCCGCACGCTGTTTTCCTCGTATGGCCGTGTCCCCTCTCGGACGGGCAGCCGCGGGGTCCTGGTCGGGCCCGTCATTAAAATGCATTGAATTCAATAGTGAACGCCGCCTCCTCGCTCCGCGCAAATCCTGCCCAAAACCACCACGCCGCCGCCCCCTCCGTTTTTTTCCCTATCGTCCATTCGCTTTTTAGGACGTTTGCTTCAAAAACAGTGGGATTCCCGCTTCTAAGGCGGCCAAGGCGCTGCTGACGAGCACCAGTCAGCATCAGCTTGACGCGCGCGCTGACTTCACCGCCGCCAGCAGAAGCGAAACGCGTCTCCTACGCCAGCAGCGCTCAGCTCACGCTGGCGCAGCAGCAGCGGGAGTAGCTGCCGCTGCTACTGGCGTTTGAACCTGCTGGAAACTTTCGCTGGATAAGCCCAAAGACGCGGCCGGCCGCTCAAAGGGATCAAAGGCGCCAGCCCCCGCCGCACAATGCTAACCTAATGTCAATAATTAACGAGTGTCCCTCCTTCCCTCCCCCTCCAGGGCGCGGCTCCTGGGCGGCTCCGCTGGCCAGTAAAGGACCTCTCCGTGAGTGCGCCCCGAGGTGGGGATAATCAAGTGAGGCCAAAGTGGTGCGCCGCACAAGACGCGCGCTCGCCTCGCTGTGTGGGGAGGGAGTGGTGTCGGGCGAGGATTAAGGGGAAAGGGGGATGGAGGGGGGCTCGTCGTCTACAGGGAGCAGCCTGGCAGATGGGCAATTTACTGTACAAAAACCCCCTGTATGAACGCAACTCATTACAGTGCATATAGCCCCCTCCATACCTGCCAGCTGCACCATAATACGCGGGCCTCTGTGATGTGCCGAGAGGGCGTATAGCACAAAGCAAAACAAAGCAAATGGGTTTTAACAGTCTGAAAGAACGCTAAATTTTGTCTGACAGAAAAGACTGCTAATACTCTTTGCCAAAGTTCCCGAGGCATTTGGAGTACCGCACTGGGCTTCTACGGTCCTCGCCGTACTCAATGCATGTTATGAATCCAAGTATTTTCGATTTTCCACCACTTCTCCTGTTCTTCGAACCGAACCGTTATACAACGTTTTGTGCTCGCTCGGTTGTTGCTCTCGCAGCGGCATGGTATATGTAGTGCCCTCCAGCGCAGGAGAGGATGCAGAG